CCCCAAAACCCCAAAACCCCAAAACCCCGAAAGGTAAAACAAAAGAATTTTTTTGGAACAAAAGATTTTATTTGTATTTATGAATTTTTAATTTTTATATATTTTTCTATTAATATTTCATGGAAGCAGGCTACAGTTCACAAACAGTCTCAGATTCTCCTTAAAGACCTAAACTTTAAAATAAGACACCTACAAATGTCCTATTAACTAATGATACATCCGAAAATAGCTTTAGATCCATTATATCTATTGAAGAATTCAATGTGTACGAGGAGAAATAAGCAATAAACTCGCCAAAGAGTCTCTATGCTTGTAGGCTGGAAGGAATTTTCCCCAAAGAGTTATTATATAAGTAATTTATAGTTTAATAGTAACTACTAATTCAAATAGGCCCATTTAAAGATACGCTGATAGGAACAAATAACTTCCTAAGGAAGTAATTAAGCTGAGATTTGAATTTTTTGAAAACAAGAGACTTGAGATGATCAATTCTGTAAAAAAGGCTAGATAAAAAATAATTGAAGAGCTTAAATAAAACGGTTCTAAGTATCTATAAAATAAAGTATAATAATTATAGATCGAGGTCAGGAACAGTATCAGGAGAAAGAATTACTCTTTCTAAGGCTTTTAGCTAGAGTCATATTGAATAAGCAGTTGCTCCCTTGTAGCCTAAAATATTTGGTAATGCAGGTTTTAATATGAAACTAGGAATAGCCCCAAATAGAAGTCAAGCTGATTTAAGTCAAATGTCAGGTGGGTCTAGGATGGGGTCAAGTGCCTAGATTGACCATGCAGTTCAAAGAGATAGAGAGTTATTCCAAAAGTAAATGGAAATTTGCGAGAGGACTAGATAAAAAGAAGCTAAGATGGTTGAAAAAATCATATGAAACGAGGAATTAAAGAATCAAAAGATTGAGGAAAATTAACGAAAATATGAAGAATTAAAGTTTCGGGACTAAATTAAAAGCAGATAAATTCAAATAAGACTGAAAGGAGATCAAGAGAAGAAATATAGAGATGAGATAGAGAGGGCAAAAATACTGACAGAAATAGAGAAAAAAGAGAAGTAGTACCAGTGGAAATCATTTATAAAAAGACTGCAAAAGAGAAAAGAAGAGGAGAAATTAGCTGAATATAAGAAGTAGCTACGAAAAGAATTGATGCAAGAAAGAGATAAATTGAGATAAGAAAAGTTCATTATTTGTCAAGAGAGAAATGAGCAAATAATGGAAATGAACAGAAGTAGGATAATTTTCGTGCATGAAAAGCACGAGAAGATGCTGTAAAACCTTGAGGAAAAAAAGAGAGTGTTTTAATTAACAGCTCGAGAAAAAAAATAAGAGAAGGAGTAATTTAAACAGAAAGTTTTTGAAAATTTGCAAAAGCAAGAATAGGAGAAGGAAAAAGGCTGGTTTTTAAAGTAAATTGAGGAAAAGGAAAAAGAGATGAGAATTAAAAGGGACAAGGAAAGGCTTATCAAAGAATAGATATTGAGGGCTTAACAGCAAGATAGAAAAATCAAAGAGGCATTAGTGTTATCTGAGAGGAAGGATAATGAGAGAAAGGAAAATTTACTGTATAAATAGAGCGAAGCAAGTATGAGATTGGAGAGGTAAAGATCTCGTTAAAGATTCTAGGAACAGCTTAAAAAGGAAATGTTTAATCTCAAAAATATGAGCAAAGACTTTAATCGTTAAAGAGCATCACGTAGACATGAATTCAAAAAAGAGCAATTAGTTTCCAAGCTTGATTAAGATCAAAGCAGATACAGTGCTCTTGTGGACGAGAGAAATTACTTGAAAGAGGTAAGAATCAAGACTCTCATTGAAAGTGAAATTCAAAGAGAAAATATAAAGAATGCCTTATACCAGATGTCAGTATGGAACACCTTTGATCCAAAGATTATATTCCATATTATGGGAAAGGAAAGATATTACGAAGGCTAAGGCATTGGAGGAGGAGATCTTACGATTGAAGAGTTAGTCAGAAAAACAGCTGTCAGCTAGTAAAGACAGAGAAAAGTAAACAGACATCTATTCTCCAGTAGTTTAGGATTTCAATCGATGGGAGGTGCTACTTAGCCAAGCACTAGTGTTCCACTAACAGAAAGAGGGAATTACTTTAAGGTATCGAGCTCTACAAATCTTTTCGGTTTTGTCAGTCCCCCTAAGACAAATCTAGGTCACTATGAAAATCAAAGCGCAGAGGACATATCTTTAGCAGGTGGAAATGAAGATACTCCTTAACTATATTAAAAAGGTGCTCTTGAAAGAGAATAGCATTCACTAAGAAATTAATCAAGTGAGTAAATTGACCATTTATAGGGCTCCACTTTTATGAGACATTCTCACGCTAATTCAGTTGCAGAGAATGAGAGATAACAAAATTCTTATTAAAATAATCTTGATGATAGCCACTCAGGACTTACTTATGATGTAAAAATACCTAAAAACAAAAAGAAACCTAAATAAATAGTTTAATAGTAAACTTTCGCTCAACGCAATGATCAACAAGAAATTGAATAGGATTAGGATATAGTGTAAAAAGATGAATAAGAAAAGTAATAATAAATGCAAGAAAAATATGATTAAATCGAATATCTGAACCATCATTTTCCTACTGAAGAATAAACGACAAAAGATTGATTGATAATATGATTATGAATTATAAGTAGTTGATTTAAATGTCAAATAATTAGTTGAATTGATAACCTTAATCATATTAAGTTTTATTTTTAGCTCATTATTTATTCATACTCATTTTCTGAAATATGTGTTCCTTAGGTTTTCAAGTCTTGTTGGAAAAGTTTCCCTAGTGGTGCTTAGTGATTCAGCAATTCTCATTTCTCTAGCTTAAATTCTATTAAACTCATCAGCACATTAATTTAATGCAATCCCTCCACCAACTCCAGCTCCAAAAGAACTGAAGAAGAACTTTTTTCTAAATACTACACCTATCATGAATCCTAGCATCAACCCTCTTCCTGTGTTTACTGAAATATCACTTAGGTATTTATCAAAAGCCTATCTTTTCTATAGATTTTCCTCTTGCAATAAAAGCTGCTGAGAGTGAATAGAAGCCTCAAAATTTGACATTAAATAATTATTATTAAAAATAAGTAAATTATTATTAATTTGATGCAATTAACCTATTTTAATTCGATTAAATTTATATCTTCATTATACTTATATAGTTGATTGCTTACTAGCATATTAGATCAAACTGCTATTCTTTAAAAGCTATATTAAATCTGATTTCTCTCTCATTGATTGCTCTATTTTCTATAAATTTGGGCATTAATCGATTGATAAAACTTACTTTTCTAATCTTATAGTGAGGTTCTTGGGACTATTGCAAATTTCATTAAACTTTATAATGACCAAGTTCAGTTGCTTTACTAATTCATTTGGCTTTGGGAATTCTCTAAATTTAACAGTCTTAATGAGAGCCTTTGAGAATTTCTAAGCCAAGTGATGAGCAGCATCCATTTCCATCATGGAATCTCCTAGTGCAATAATATTAGTTATCATGGCTTCATCTATAATTCCCTGAGTTTCTTGAAATGCATAAAGTTTCCACTTAGTAAAATCATTTGGAAAATGAGGCTCGTATCTTGACCTAGCTGAAATGATGGTTATTTTTTCAAGAACTGGTAGCAATGAAGGCATATATCTTTCAGCACTGTATTCCACCCAACCTTCTGCTGCATTAGTGATAATAAACGTTTTACCATACTTCAAAGACATGTTAAGAATCCTAAATAAAAAATGATGATGAAGCAAATTACTTTAAAGCAGTTTGCTCAAGCAATTTGAGTTAAGTAGATATGGGTCCATTGATATCGAATCTTTCTGCAAAGCCTGAAGGATTTATAAATGTTGTGCATAAAAGTGTGTCATCCCAATCAAATATAATTGCAGTTTCATGAGTTTTTGGTTTTTCTAAGGGAGTAAGCCAAACTTTATTGTATGTCAGTTTACTGAGAAATCTACTTCTTATTTTATCTCCTGTTCTTGCTTTCTAAATAATTTCAAGTGAATACCCCTCTGAGTCTGGTGTAACAAATGAATCTATGACCTGCTCAATTTCTTCTGATTGCCCATCAAACTCGGTTTTTGAATCATCAGTTACAATGATATTTTACCCTGAAATATCTCTATCTTCTTGCTGTAATTCTTCAATAGCTTATGATTTGTCCATATTTAGCTCATTATCAGATCTGAATCGAGTTAGTTGAATGTCCTAGCGAATATTTACATCAGTAACCTCCGATACTTCTTAAATTGTCATCTTATTTAAATTTTCTTAAGACTGCTTTTTATAAGGATTATGATACAATTGCTTTTATCCCGAATCTAAATATTATTAGTCAGCAAGGGTAAATAATTTTACTTTGGAATCCTAAACGATTCATCAATGCTTTTCTTCCTTTCAGAGTATTATCTTCATTCGGAGTACTATACATTTAAACCTGTTAGCTTTCTAGGCTTGGCTTCAATATGGAACTATCGTTCCGACTTGGAGGCAATTTTATTTGCGAATCTTTATTGTTCTTAGCATGCTGGGTGAAATCCCCAGAAACTCCGACAAATGCTCCCATATAAGTAGCTGGCTATTTATCTTTAGGCAAATTACTATCAGCTCATACTGGGCTGCTATCTGCTGATCTTATTTTAGTTCTAATAAGAATTTGAGTAAATTGGATCTGAAATTGAATGTTGATTACTTTTGAGGTTTCGCATTATTTTATCCCATAGATCTCTATAATATTATCTTTTATTTTATAATATGATATATTTCTAACTTTATTGTTATCTAGCTTCACTCTATATACTATCATGCGGGGTTTTGGGGTTTTGGGGTTTTGGGGTTTTGGGG